TGTAGTTTGTTAAATATCACGACATATCACTGTTAAAACTGACCTCACACTATCAACCATCTTGAAATCTGATATGCTATCTAACCAAGTGATAGTTTGGACAGTGATACATACTGGTCAGTTTCATTTGCATACAAAATGAACACATAATTTAACATGTTCTCCAGATAAGGATAATTACTTTCATACCTCAAATCGGTTTTAGCTGTGATCGAGTTGCTGCTCTTTTACAGGCAGGCAGAGGATACTGCTGAGCATGTGCAGAGTGATGGATAGTGTTGACCCTGTTACAACTGCCCTTCGTTACAACTTACCCCTCTCTTCCCTTTGCAGTTATCTGTATGTACACTTGACCCCATGATAGGACTTGCTTATAGCAAATCCCATCCAGGATTGCGTTAAATGTTACACTGCCTGGTGGAATTGGGGCTATAAGCCTTGATGTAATCGCCTACTTTAAAGGAGAATTAATCATGTTACTGTTTCCAGAGACAAGGCTCAAAAAGCATTAAACATGATAGAAAATAAACAAAGCAGTCTTTGTATGGGAAACAGAACAAACATTTAAGAAACTGAAAATGACTCATAAAATAGTTTATTATTTCACTTATATGTGACCACATTGTAATTAAGCATTAAATTATACAGCATCTGTGAACGTTACATAACACATATTAGCCTACTATATTTAATAAAATTCAGCTTCATAAGTGTTGATGATTATTCATCACGATTAGCGACATTAATATGACCAAAAGTATGTGGTTCTTCCCCAAATTGTTGCCACAAAGTTGGAAGCACATAGTTGTATAGGATGTCTTTGTATGCTGTGTCATTATAATTTCCCTTCACTTCAACTAAGGGGCCCAAAAATGTTCCAGCATGACAATGCCCCTGTCCATAAAGACATGGTTTGCCAAGGTTGATGTGGATGAACTCGAGTGGCCTGCACAGAGCCCTGACCTCAACCCCACTGAACAACTTTGTGATGAACTGGAACGTCGACCGCATGCCAGGTCTCCTCGCCCAACATCAGTGCCCAACTTCACTAATGCTCTTGTGGCTGAATGAGCACAAATCCCCACAGCCACACTACAAAATCTAGTGGAAAGCCTTCCAGAAGCCTTCCAGCAAAGGGGGACTAAATCTGGAATGGGATGTTCAACAAGCACATATGGGTGTGGTTGGTCAAGTGTCCACAAACTTTTGGCCATATAGTGTAGATTCAGATTATCAATATGAAGCTGTGGGTTTCTACTGCAGGATTTACTAAAACCTTTTTGTTAATTCTTTATACATAAAACATGTGGTTAAGCAGCTGCACATTACATCCCTGAAGTGAGTGGCATGCTTTTAAAATCCTTTGGCTTAGATCAGTTCTTTAGCACCATGTCGAAGAGGCTTACAAGAGGACCATTATACAGATGGGCTTGCACAAGATTGAGCTTATATACCTGATTGAACGTCAAATAAGAAAAACAAAATGACCAATTTTCCTGAGGCAATGGGTAGATACATTAAGCCTCTAAGAAAAGCTTACAGCGTGTTCTCTCTGTAGTGAAAATCAAATCTGGGTGTGCTGCTGCAGAGCCTTTATAACATTTTTTTTCTAATGCACATAGTGTATAAAGAAGGAATATTTTACCCTGACATGGATAAAAGATCTAATTTTGGTTGGACAGTTCGGATTACAACATTTCAACTAAGACATATTATAATCTTAGTCTCATATTGTGCCAGAGGCACTGAAAGCTTTTAGATAAGATGAGAGCAGATGATTTTGGTGAAAGTAAACAAATCATCAGCACACACAAGAGTGTATTTTGTGTGTGTGTGTGTGTGTGTGTGTGTGTGTGTGTGTGTGCACCTCAGGAGTTTTACTGCTTGCCTCTTTCCCTCTGTTCCATTTAGAAGCATCAAAACCAGCATCTCTCCAATCTTATGTAACCCTAGGGATACATTAAAAAGTCACTTATGTAGTCTTGCAGTTGTAGTTTTGCATTTGTTCCTTTCATTTTTCCTTAAGCAATGGTGTTGTGCAAGCAAAGGCAAATTGTATCATGTATGAAGTACGGCTGGAAAATAAAAAAATTTTTTTATGGTGAGTGTGCGCGAAAGACTCAATAGCTCCAGAGCGCTTCAAAGAGATTAGAGTGCAGTTGAAGCATAATATAAACTCACTGATATGCTTCAAAGAACTGTTCAAAAATGTAATATAAATGTGAAATAAAGAAGCATAGACATGAGTGTGCATTATGTTAATTCATAAATGTGAATGAAAATCGGCATATGAAAAAGGCATAATTTTGGTCAACTTTCTCATTTTTCAGACTTTAATGGAATGTGCTCCCACAAATGTAATACCTGCTCTTCAGTTGTATTCATTTTTCATGTGTGTGCAATAAGGCCACCCTGTATTTTGCACCTTTCAATAAAAATGGACAGCACCCACTGTCACCAAATAGACCTTTTTTTTGCATGTTTTTTCAAGTTTGCATGGGATGCTATACAAGCAAAGCTTTAGTATATCAGAAACAGGGTTTTTCTTAATCAAAGCTATTATTTCTGAATGGCAATGGCAATAATTCCTGAGCTGACTGTATATTCTAACATTTGCACACATCTGTCTTTGTAAAAAATTTATGGACTAATTTCTGAATGGATTAATGTGTTTCTTGGGTTTTGCATTTTACATATTTATCAAAACTGTCTTTTTTTAACTGTTGGATGCTAGCATTCATAAGAAAATAAGGATATAAACAAGATATGATAATATCATTATAATCAATATAATAAATACACAGCCTCATTTACTACACTGGAGAAAATGACAGATATCCACAAGAACATCATGTGGGATTTACTCTCCAGCCTATTTATTCATCTGGCTATACATAAAGGAATGTCTTATATTAAAAAAAAAAATTAAAATACGTTTATTAGTAAAGTAGAATATATGAAAAATCGATCTCGAATGAGAACGACATCAAATCTCGCCTTCTGAACTTACTGAGTGCGAAGAGTCTCGCGAGATTTCGCGTGAGCCTTCCCTGTTTTCAACATGGCAGGCAGTAAGTTGGTGCTGGAAGGGAGGATAAGTATTACAAGCTTTCTTTTAGGTCTTGGCGTGCTTGTAATACCCCTGTTTGTAAAGTTTGGCTCCCATGTTGACTGGATATTCGATTACCTCACCGGTGTAAACGGGAAAATAGCCATTGCGCTTTATATTACAGTTATCAACGGCTTCCTGCTAATCATTTACAAGGGACCTCTGTACAAGGTAAGAGTGAGAGCTAAACAAGCTAAGTGTTATATTTACTCTCAGTATAATCGGAACAATATCGTCACGGCGATGAAGCTGTTTTGTTCTTTTAGAATGTTTTTATTTTCTAGGAAATAAAATCACTTAGTGAGGATCAGCAGATTAACCTGAACTGTCCTGCTGGCAGTGTGTTTAAGTGCACATAATCCACTTTAATTGGATTGGTTAGCTAGCGAGTCAGGAAGACACACAGATGTGTTGTTCAGCATGTACTCTCTGTGCACAGCTTTTATTCAGATATCTATATATATATATATATATATATATATATATATATATATATATATATATATATATATATATATATATATATATATATATCTCTCTCTCTCTCTCTCTCTCTCTATATATATATATATATATATATACACATACAAACACACACACATTTTATATATTTATATAATTATTTTCCTTTGTTTTTCCCCATTAGGTCGCTGTGCGAGCTTGCTTTCTAGGATTTGTCTTCGGCTGTGGCTTGATCATAAGTTTTGCAGACACGACATGGACACACTTTGGCTGGTATATAACCTATTCAATTCAGTTTTATTTTATTTGTATAGTGCTTTTAACAATGGGCATTGTAACAAAACAGCTTTACTGAAAAATATAAATTTAGGATATAAATTTTAAATGTATAAATTTATCCCTAATGAGCAAGCCAGAGGCGACGGTGGCACGGAAAAACTCCCTGAAACGATATGAGGAAGAAACCTTGAGAGGAACCAGACTCGAAAAGGGAACGCATCTTCATTTGGATGACACCAGATAGTGCAATTATAGATAAATCCCTTCTATAACTGTGTGCTATATGGTCAAAAAATGCAATTGTGTAAACAGGAAAGTTTGTTAGTTTTCACATGAACTCTGTTTTAGTGAAGTTATCAAATTGTTCACTGATGGAGACTTGAGTGCAATTCGTGGCAATTGCAGTCCTAAAGATGTCAAAGCAATTGTAGTCCTAAGCCATCGTAGCAAAACTGTTCATATCAGTTGCATTCCAAAGCCATCTTCATGGTTTCTAAGTGGTACCATCCACAGTTATCTCATGTAACTTTAGGCTGTTCGTGTGGGGACCATCCTTATTCAAGTTTCTGCATCTCACTGTTAAATGAGGATCAAATCAAAATTTATTTTATCTTTTATCATGCGTGGTGAATGATGTGACTGTCCATAAACCATGTCTAAACTGTAGTGTTGCCTTTCTGCAGGTACTTGTGTTCACTGTCATTCTTCCACTACTCTGAATACCTGGTCACAGCCATCATCAACCCTCGCAGTCTGTCTCTAGACTCTTTCCTTCTCAACCACAGTGTTGAATACACCGTAGCAGCAATCTCTTCCTGGATGGAGTTTATTGTGGAAAAGCTGCTAGTTCCAGGTCTGTTTTGTCTGAAAGACTTGCTATAGTGTATGTGTGTGTGTATATATGTATATGTATGTGTGTGTGTGTGTGTGTGTGTGTGTGTGTATATATGTATATATATATATATATACACACACCCACACCTTCCCCTATTATCTCGCTATTATTTATGTATGTATATGAAGTGTTTGCATATTGCATATTTGATTTGGTGCAGTTTTTGCACCAGTTGCCCTTCCTGACACAACCCTCCCCACTTTTATCCAGGCTTGGGAGTGCACTGTCTTGTGCACCCCCAGTGGCTGGGGTTAGTTCCCTGGCCGGGAATTGAACCTGGGCCATGGCGGTGAGAGCACCATGACATAACCAGTAGTTCTCCATGGACCCATTGGGCCACTGCAGAATAACTGTCTTTAAAAAAGCTGCAACCATATAACAGAATTCATATGTGACATTAAGCTTTTAATGTGAGATCGTCTTAATCTCAAGTGTATTGCAGTGATTATGGCGTTATTTAGGGTTGCGATCGCCTCTCCTGCTAAGGGCAATACCAGTTAAAGTCTCGTGAAACTCCAGTAAAACTCTCATGATCTCACTGGAAAAATGTGGTTTTGCAGCATAGTTGAACTGAAAATGTCAGTCACTTTTGCTCATGAAGAAGTCAGTACTCTGGTTACATTTCGGTTAAATTAAATACCATCGTGTATTTCTAATCAAAATACTAAAAAAAAAAAAAATCTGGCAAGAGAAATCACAAACCTGTAATAATAATTAACACACAGTTTTAGTTTTTATCTTATAGCTTTCAGTTTAATTTAGGTACAGATTTGCAAAGCTGACGATGATCTGTCTTAATTAGCAAACTGTAATGCAGAGTCTGTAATGCAAACTGGCTGCAGTATTTATTCCAAGCAAATAGGAATAATAGTCATTTCAGGATCAAGTTCAAGTGGAATTAGGTGTAGCTGCTGCTTAGCTGGACTGAACACTTTCAGCCACACCGGCACATTGCGGAAATGATTGAAGGCCTCTGCCGTAGAGTAACCTCTGTTTTTGTGTACATGTGAAGGAAATCATGAGAACAATTTGCGTGATGTAAAATTTAAGATATTCCCAGCTCATCTGCTACTGTACCCATTTGACAAAATGTCTATTCTGTATATTCTGTATCTTCATATTGTGATTAATCCTCTGTAACGTGTCCCTGGGCAGAGCTGAAGCAGCTGAACTGGGTCTGTTTTGTGGGATTAATAATGGTGTTATGTGGAGAAGGTCTGCGCAAGTCTGCCATGCTGACAGCAGGATCCAACTTCAACCACATAGTGCAGAACGAGAAGGCTCAGAGCCACGTGCTAGTCACCAACGGCGTCTATTCATTTTTCAGACACCCCTCGTATGTGGGCTGGTTCTACTGGAGCATCGGTACTCAGGTATGAGGAGGCCAAATAAAGCTTAGAAAATGGCTGTTGGGCCCAAATTCCCATTGAGTAAATAATGAAATATAGTGTAGTTGTAAGTAAAAAATGATGTTTACTATGTTGCTGTAGGGGCGGACAAATCATGAATTTATTATCTAGCCTGCTGGACAAGTGGAAGCTCCAGTGTACTTCCTAGTCCCATCTTTTCCCCAGAAACCTAATCAGCTAGGCTAAAAATATTATAGCTAACATTATTATTATAGTGTGGCAGGATAGTTAGCTAGTTAAGTGCAGTAATACTGATTAAGGGAAAGAAAAAAGTTAATGATTATTATCCTTTCGTGACAAAGTTTCTAATGCAGCACATTATGTTTGTGCAGAAAAAACATCAGCCAAGTTGTTGGCGAATGTTTGCGGTGTTCTGTCCTTGCATTGCACGTAAGATATTATTCAAGTCTGGCTAGCATCTTTATTTTCTCTCAGTACGTTTAACCACGAGGTGACTTTTACTAGCAGGAAAGTTGTATAACACTGCCCTTAACTTTACGCTGCACTTTGTTTTGCTTGGATTTGTCAGTGTTTCTCCAAACGTCGTCTGTCATACATGCACGCTACTTAATCCGCATCGAAAAAACTATTTACAGTCAGCCAGATCACATCTCAGCCAATGTGTGTAAACATAGCTGCATATCATTATTCAAATATTGCAAAAGTCAGTAAAGGAGTAAGTTTTTCTTCTTTTTTTTTTATTTATTTGTTGAACTGGGCAACTACGAATTAAAAGCCAATAGCCCAGATACAAAAATCTGCTTGGCCCGGGCTACTGATTTATCCACCCTTACATCAATATATACTCACCGTCCACTTTAATAGGAACACCTGTACACCTGCTCATTTATGCACTTATCTAATAATTCAATCATGTGGCTGCAGTGCAGTGCATAAAATCATGCAGATACAGGTCAAGAGCTTTAGTTTAGATAGCTGCATAAATGAGAAGGTGTACAGGTGTTCCTATTAAAGAGGACAGTGAGTGTATTTTTAAATATTTGGTTCAAATATTACTTCTCTCTCTGTAGATAATGCTGTGCAACCCGTTATGCCTCTTGGCCTATACGTTGGCTAGCTGGCGGTTCTTCAAGGAGCGTGTCGAGGAAGAGGAGATCTCTCTCATCCATTTCTTTGGAGAGGATTACATCGAGTACAAAAAGAAAGTCCCCACTGGTTTACCCTTTATCTCAGGCATCAGGATAAACTCATAAGACTGGGACAAAGAGAGAAACGCAGAAACGTCTAGTGCACTCCTGGACTCTTCCTGGACTGGCACTGTGAGTGAACTGGTCACCCGCTGACCTTCTGGCTCACGTTAACGCCAAGGGAAATGAGTTGACACGGTACAGAGAGACTGGCCTGTTGATCTGCTCTGAGACACAACGGCTCACTCTGAGCAGGGTGGAGCCTCTACCTCGACGCAATTCAGACCGAAAATTCACACACGGCTATAAAGTCTCTCATCACTCCCCCGCGTTATCAATATTCACTTTGGCTTTTCTCTCATACATCATATAATACTTTTACATCTTCATATACATGTAGACCTGTTTTTGCATCTCTACTTCATGATATAGAGCTGTTTTAACACATCCATACATTTCATGTGTCATTTCATGTCAGTTCCTTATTAGTTTCAGGGTCTTAATTCCTTGTGTGTTTTTTTTTTATTTTTTTTTTTTTTTTTTTTTTTTTTTTTTTTTTTTTTTTTTTTTTTTTTTTTTTTTTTTTTTTTTTTTTTTTTTTTTTTTTTTTTTTTTTTTTTTTTTTTTTTTTTTTTTTTTTTTTTTTTTTTTAAACTTGTTGTAGAACAGGATTTAGAAATTAAAGGTCATGAAACTGCAGCGAGGTTGTACTGTATGTTAACTAGGAAAAGTATACTGCAACTCAATATACATTCAACCTGACTTATACCAAATATACCAGATACTTAGACCAGATATTATTTATTTTACAGGAAAGCTTGAGCACTCTCCTAGTAAACACATTAGTATTTTACATATGGTATTTCTTATTAGGTAAAAAACCCAGATACGAATTGTTCAGTAATGTTTTAGAGTTTTTACCTGGATAAGATCCAACAGTACAGTTGTTCAGTTTGCAGACCTGCCAACCTTAGGAGCACACAGCTATGAGCTATCACTCAGAAATATGCAAATAGTGCAGTCTTTTTTTTTTTTTTTTTTTTTACCTAATAAAAATGGTAGACACACCAATCAGCACGCGAATCTAGAAAAAAATGAACAGTTTTGTAGGTGTTTGAACTCTGATATTAACGAAGCCACTGAAAGCCCCGCCCCCTTCCCTATCTCATATTAGTATTCTCGAATTTTTTCAACTGAAAGATAGCACCTTGCTAAAAGTACTGATAAAATCTAGCAGTATTTGTTTGACTTTGCTAACATTATACAAGTAAATAGTTAACATCAGTTAACTATATTTATTAGGGATGCCACTAGAGCTGAAAAAAGGTAATTTTTTTGTAATGGTAATTAGAATGTGATTAAAACACTGCTTGGTTTCCAGCACTGGTCATGGCCGACGTGTGCAAACAGTGCGGTTAAGCTCGTCGCAGTAGAAACCGGAGTGTATCTGGGGTTGTACGCGAATCACCAGGCACGTGGGGGGCTGCAGCTTTTCTGTTTTAAGATACAGACACTAGTTTACATGCACACTTTCTTATTAATTGCTGTACATTGCATTTTTTTCCTAGAATTGGAAAAAAAAAAGAAAGTAAACTTTTCTATTGGAAAATTTTGTACTTTCCTGCATGTAAACATTTATGCTGTCTATATCACTAAAACAGGCAAGTGGTATCTTTGCCCAGCAAAGCACTGGGTGTAAAATCCATTAATTAAAAAAAAAAAAAAAAAGGATATACATACACTCCAGTTTGTCTCTTGGAGAAGTGATTTGTGAATGGATTATGTTGAAGATGTTCTGCACCAAGACTACACGTTAGTCCTCTTCAGACTTTGATTACATTTGTAATGTTCCTCTAGGACTTTCACATGTTATGATATTTCTAAACTTTGTTTTTGTTGATTTCTCCTAACACTGTTCGGGCAGTTTTGGGCACATGCAGATCTCAATGCTGAATGCTGACAATCTGTAATAAACACTTTTCCTAAATATTGTGCCATCTTAATGGTGATAAACTTGGCACTGCAGGCAAAATTCAACCATAAGTTGAGTGGGCAGAAGTGTCTGCTAGCTAATTGGATTCTGCATGAAGGGGCCAACTGTGACAGATGTATTTATTGGCACACTGGATACACAAAGTCTGTCAGCAAGAGAACCTTATTAGTTCCAACACACATGGACAAATTTGTGATGTTCTGCAACTTCCATGCATTGCATGTACTTTGGTTTTCTTCTGGTTCTGCTCTCATTTTATCATGATGTTAATATTTTCACCAGCCCTTCCAGTCCATTTAACGAAATCAAATAATGTTTGATTATATACATTCAGCCATGTCCAGGGCCATTTATTCATCTTTACATCCTTCATTTTCGACATGACCTAGCTTCATTGGACGACAGGAAGTAGGATTTGTTGCACTTTTCAATGAATGGCCACCGTAACAGTTTCTATTAATTGTCAAACATAAAAGTTTCGCTCATGTACAGCAGGATGGCAAGTTGCAGTATATAAGTATTACAGTGAGACAAATGGGAAGGAAACTGAACTGTACAATTATTCATGATTATGACACTGAGCATACAAAACTACTACAAACCTCTGAAATAAACACTTAATATAAAGACAGTGTATGAATAATATATTTCATATTTTACTTTTTTTTATTTTTTTTTATGTTGTTTTAATTAGTGCACCCCAAAGCAAATCAGTTGCATTTTAAACATCAGCAATGCCTTATCTATTGTCTTGTATTCACAAGTACTACAAATAAT